CAGAATCTTATTTTGTTATATTAGGTGTTTACTAAATATTTGTTGACTGGTTGCTTTCCTATCCCTATTAGCAAGCTTTTCTTTCTGAAAGTAATTTTTCCCTTAGAGAAGTGTCTTTAAATTGTTATTCTCTTAGTAATCCCCTGCTACATATAAAGGTTGTAATATTTTTCAAACTGTGTGTTTGGTATTGTGGTTTTGAAATTTTCTGATTGGCATGTACCTATACTCTTCCAGATGAACTTATTCAAATGTGGTGTGTGTATGTGGCTGTGGTTGTTGATGTGCGTAGGGCTACACAGGCAAGTAAAAATGACAACTCTCTTGGGCTCGCCGTGGAGATACCCTCTCTATATGTAGTTTTATTTTCACACTATGATGTTTTAGTCTATGCTTGTATAGATTATGCCTGAATGTCTTCCAAGTTTATTTTCCTTTCCTGTTCTTAAAGCACAGTGTACAGTTTTCAGTTTCATACAAAGATTACTCACTTGGTGAGGAAATATGATAGTCTGTGTAGACACAGACATCTTAGAATTCCTTAGTCCCAGGGAGAAGTCACAAGTATATTAATGGCCTACTTTCCCTACACCAAGAAAATTGATTTTCCCCTTGTTTCTAAGGAAAATCATTTTGAGGGTACTCACCACTATGTGATGAATGGAACTATGAAGACACTTTGGGCTGTCAGGAGGAAGAATAGTGGTTTAAAAATTTTTTTTATTCCATGCAGTCTAATTTTACTCTCTTAAAGATATATTCAGTATTGGAATGCCAGTTCTTTTTACTGTTTCCTTCATTTAATCTACACGAACGTTCTTATATGCAGTCTAATGCTCACCAAGCAGTGAAAACACAACATTAAATTGTGGTTTTAGCTGCTGATTCACTTTACCCTGAGCCTTACATTTTTCAGACTTGGCAAGGGTAACCTAGGAGCTTATTTCCTGATTTATATAATTTACTCCTCTACTGACGAGCATAACTTGCGTCTCAATGGCTGGGACTTGGAGAAACAATTGTGTGGGATAGTAAGTCTACCAAGATACTTGCTTAAGACTCTTAAAAGAAGCCTACACATGAATATCTTAGAGCCAGATTTTGAGTAAAGTGAAAACCTCTTTCTCTCTTGTGGTTATTTCAGGTTTTTCTATTTTTAAAGTGACCTTCACATATGGTACCTCCGTATAAATCAAAACTTAGTCCATACTGATATATGCATGATTAAACTTATTTGTCATGATATAGCACAGTGATGAAGTCAAGCTTAATTCTACTAGCTTTTAAGATTGTTTTGGTATGAAGGGGCTATGGCATTCTAACAGAATTACTATATTGTGTTAATGTATACATCTAAACTACACATACTATTATATTCCTAGAACATCTTATTAATTATGGAAATCACTTTTATTTCAATAGTGAAATTTACATGACAACAGCTCCTGGGGCTCAGTGGAGCATCAGATCAGCATGTCACAAAATTCCCTTGTAGTATGGTGTTGACAGGGTTCTGTTGACACCAAATTTGCAATGAAAATGTCTCATAAATGCATATCCACATAGAACATTACTTAGAATAAATCAGCTCAATAGTCACATAGGTCAGTAATGTCACAGATGAAAAATTTCCCCACACTTACATTAGTAACATGAATTATTAAGAATAGATAACCATATATATTATATAGACGACCTGAAGGATATGTCTCACATATTTAGAAAAGGTATCCAGATATAGAACTCTCACCTTTGTGTTCTCTCCTATAATTGTATAAAGCTTTTGCCTACTCCAATTCCTGTATAAATGTGAGATGAAGATTCTAAATCAGGCAACAGAATGGACTGTCCAGAGGGGTTAGAATAGGGAGTAAGTAACAAGACAAAATAGAACAGTAGGATAATTAGGTTGAATATTACAACAAAGTTCTTAATAGGGAGAACTATTAGACTGTGAAATAGTCTTTCAAATGCACTGGAAGAAGTCATTACTTGAGCTATTTAAAATCAGACTGGACTGAAGTACTCCAAAATACAGTATGCTGTGGGGACCAAGCCTACATTAGAAGTAGAAGGAGGGGAATGACCTAATAGCTTCTACCGTCTGTGTGATTACTATGATTGTGCTCATTTTGTGTGTTCAGTCTTGGTGGATAATCTATCATTTTATGATACTTCCAGGGAGCAATTTCCACAAATTTATCTAATGCAAAGCTAGATGCTTTTAGCAGCATCTCAGAAGAGATGAAAATGCACAATAAACCGTATAAAATAGCAAAACTATGAGTAAATGCTACTCCTTTTTTAGGGAGTAACCTTTGGAGAAAACAATTCTCACCCTAGAACTCTGGCCACATTCCAATGTGCATAAATGCATCCTGTCTGCCTGGCTTTCAACGGAGATTAGGTATTAATTTTCATTTCTTTTGTTTAATGGTATCTTGGGATGATGTTGAATACAAAACAACAAATAGAAACATTTCATTCCCAAGCCAATGACTACATTTTGGCAGGAGGTAGCTAGGACCCTGAAAAATATCTTGGCAACATTTTGTGACTGACATCTAGTAGAGAAATGGACAATAAAGAGAAAATAGTTTGATTTGAAGAAAAATGTTTGACAAGAAATAAGGAGGATGAAAAGGTATCCAGGGTAGTTGTAAAAATGTTATTGCTGGCAGTCTTTTAAAATAAAACTATCCTCAATCTTGTGCAGTTCTGGTCGATCATCTGCCATGAAGTACAGAAGTGAGGCAGGTGACCTTTTGACAATTATCCTAGTTCTTTTATTCAATAAAAATAATAGTTTAAATTTAATTAACACCCAATTTTATCCTATTGATACCTAATCTGCATTGAAAGCCAGGCAGACAGGATGCATTTGCATTTGTTCAACCTACCAAGTTTAATTGCAGTGATACAAATTTAGAGATGGGATCATTTTGATATTTGGTCATTGTGAAGTAAATCATCAGATTACACTTAATTCTTTTCATGTGTATATTATAACTTTTTAAAAAAACTACCACACATGAGTGGATCATAGAGTACATTTTCATTATTAATAACATTCTCTGTTTTCATGCATTTTCTCAATTTACTAATCGCATATTCCTGACTTGTGAAAAATACCATTCAATTTAGATAGAGGTCTCTATCCCCCAAGTCTCCCAAATTTATTTTACTTTTTGTATTGGCATAATTTTCTATGATTTCATTGGCAAAGATCTAGCTCATAGAACAAAAGATTTTGTATGGACTTTTTTTGGGGGGGGGCGGGGAATGTAGACACTTGTCAATACTAAAAGATACTTTTACCATTTATCCTTCCTGTTAGTCCAGTGAATATAGATATTCTAGAATTTTCATTCTTTTATTTGTGAAAAATAAGTTTCAAGACTTTTTCTACTCAGTTTCCATCCTGAGCACATGTGCCATTCTGAATACTAATCAAGTCAGCCTTAGGGCATATCTATTCAAAAAATCCTTGTAGTTTTGCTGGATGATCAGAACCTGAAAGGATGGACAGGTAAAACCTACAGGTGTGAGGACTTTTTGTAAATATAAGACACTGCCATTATGAAAGGGAAATATCACTTTATTAAGGTGTGGTGTACAATAACTTCCAAAATGTTTTCAAATTCTACTGGGATGTTTTGAGAAAAAAAGTAGCATAACACTAGAGAATCATTAACTAATAACCTAAACATCTTTGGCAGAAACTGCGTAGCCCTAGGAGTTTAGTGCCATGGCAATCTAAATGTTCTTGTCATGCCTATACTAAATAAATTTACACAGATGATTAGAGTGCAGGGAGCAGTCTTAAAATGTGTGATCAAATAAAAAAAGCAGACTTCGATTTAGGTAAATTAAAAATGTTTCTCTACCAGTAAGTGCCCTTTTCCACTCACAGAAGCACAATATAGCTGGCTGTACTGAACAGTTCTAAGAACAGGCAGCACAAATAAATGGAAGGAGGGAAACTCAAAGTAATGAACTATTGCTGGGGTCTTTAACTCACACTGACTTCAATTCACATTGGTTTCAACTTTAATTATACAGACATATAAACTATATATGTCAAACAGCACCATTCAAATGGCAGTAGAAACATTTTATTAGCAAATTAACTGAGCACTTGACCACAGATTATTAGAAGTATCCAGTTTTGTTATTTGTTATCAAGTTGTACAATGCTTTAAAATACTTAAAAGGCAGAGGAATGTCTCCTTAAGATATCTACCCAAAAGTATGATGCCAGGGAAGGAGCTAGAAGAAAATCTAAATGAAATCCTTAAGAGACAAGCTTATTGCATATATTATCTAGCCTATTTCTAGATCGCGAATCTCCCGCCCTCTCTGAGTTATCTCACTGTCTGATAAGGAAAAAGAACAAGATAGATGAAGAGACGTGCTCCCAGTCTGGCTTTTCGATTTTTCGCTCAAGCCAAAGGGAGCAAAGGGCATCGAGTTAGGGATAATTTCCAAGCATCTTTGCAGTACAGAGAACCTCTGGTCCCTTCTGGTTGCAGAACCAGGTCCCGCTGCCCGCATCAAACCTGGCAACCTCCACACCCACATGAAGCAGCCACTGTGGCAGCTAGTCATCGTAGGATTTCCTGTGCACAAAGCCTAAGGAACCCCCAAAATGAAACGTATCCTGAGACCAGAACAGGGCTGGCGGTGGTTGGCTGATGAGACTGGTCTCTCTGGGGGTCTTCGGGCGTTAGTTGTCCCTCCACCTCTCGCACCCTGGCTGCAGATCTGTGCCCTGAAAGCTGACTCCCTCCTGGAGACACCGAAGTGCGCTCACACACACCAGCTCTCACGCACACCCACATGGCCTCTGCCCTCCACCGTCCCCACCCTGGCAGAACTGTAGGGACCAGTCTATGCTCTGCCTCAACTTTCCCGACTGCACCTGCTCCACGCAGCACCCAAGCCACCGCGCCCTCCCCGGGCGCCCTGCAGAGGGACACGTCCTGCTCTGGGCCCCTTACCTCGCACCGACAACTCCTGGCAGGGTCTGGAGCTGACCGTGGTGGCAGCGGCGGCGGCTGAGCCTGCACCCGGGATCTGGCTCATGGTTGGTCCTCCTCATCCGACACAAAAGAGGTAGCTTGCTGGCTTTGTCCTTTCCAAATCCAAGGAGAACTTATTTTGCCCCCGAAATGGCCAACTTGTGCGCGCCGTTTCCTGTCATAGTGCCCCCTGCCCCTGCCACCGCCCCCTCCCAGTTGCTAGCTGGACCACTGCCCGGTGGCAGAACATCCAGGCCTCCGAGTCAGTGGGGAGTGGGAAAAGGGAGGGTGGGAGCAGAAGAGAGAAAAGAGGTTGGGAAAAGGGGGGACCCAGTGGTCTTTCGTAGTCGGGAGGGGCGCGGTTCCCAGCTGAGTCCCTCTCTTTCTCTTTACAGGCAAACACACTTCCCAGGCGTGGAAGCAACTTTCCTTCACCTTGGCCAGGCTCAAACCATAGCATCTGATTGGGACTCTAGGCAGAGGCACAGACCTGGCATTCTCTCCTCATTCTCTCTTTCTCCTTTCCCCTCTCTGCCTCCCCCTCCCTTTTATAGGGGTGTATCTGCAGAGTCTTCAGTGAGCTAGTGTACCTAGCCGAGAGGATAGTGAAGAGAAAGCCAAAGAGGTTTTGCCAGCTGCTTCGCCTTACTCTGAAACCCAGAGGCAGTGTATGCTAAGGTTGGGAATTTCAGAGAGGTGGGGCGAAGGGGCGTGGGGCAGTAGCAGATCCGCGGCTCTAACTTTGAAGGTCTGTTAGAGCTTTTGGCCGTGGGAGAGCAAGCACTGTCAGCCCAGGAAAAGGTTTCCCGTGGTCCCTGTGCACCAGGCTGACTGCATGCTAGAGGAGAAGGGGAGAGCAGGAACAGAGAGGGAGCGAGAGAGCCTGGGAGGCCGGCGTGCAGCTCTGCCCCACACGCAGCTAAACTGCACACTGCAAGCCCCTGGAGAGGGCTTGTGCAGAACAATCTCTGGGTCAGGCGGGAGGGAGACGCTCCCGTTTCCTAGCAACCCTCATCAATCTTCTCGGGATAGCTCCCTCTGAAGGAATTCGATTGGACAGCTCCTGGAGGCAAGACACGCCCCTTCAAGAATGCTGGGCGGCTGCTTTTTTCGCATTCTCCCAAATTTCTTGGTTGTTGTAAGAGAAGAGTGCTGAATTATCTTCCTTTTTGTCCTCCTATACTGCCACACCACCCCCTTGCAGCGACCCCACCCAGCCCCTGCATTATCCGTTCTCTAGTCCGTTTGGTTAGCAGACCCAGTCAATGTTCTCCACAGAACCTCTTCTTTCTTCTTATAATTAAATAAATAAAAACCTTAAATCGGTGACGTAGGCACAAAAGAGAAAAAGGACACGAAAATAGCTTGAATTGGCTCCGAGCTACAGATAAAATTCTAAAGGTAAAATTCCAGGCATCTTTCCATGTTTAGAAACACATGGATGGTACTTAATTTCAAAATCGAAAAACTTCACCGTCATTAATTTTTCCACTCTGATATACTAACTTCGTGTTAACCAAGGACTGTTACAATGCTTTTTAATACCACCTTTATTCTTTAATATTTAATGTTAAGTTGTTTAACAACTGCTTTCTTTGTAACCTAGCCAAAACCTGTAAACTACAGAAATAATTTTATCACTGGTTTCTTTAGAAGCTAATGATATTTAGAAGATACGCATGCTTATATATATATTCCATTGCGAAGGTCACTAAAACTAGAAACTTGAATATATTAAACATTAAAATGTCACTAAGTAGTGAAACTCTAAAAATTGTAGACGCTCTCCTTTCAATATCATTCTGTCTAGAATCCAATAGCTCTGTCCAAGTAAAAGCCAGACCTCTCTTCTTTGCATTTCTTTACTATTATCTAACATGTACTGCTTACCACAAATACATCTGACTTTGATAAAAGAAATTTTTCACAATGTTTGACGAGCAGACAACTGTACATCCAAGAGCAATGACATAGTGAAGGAAAAGATAAAGTTCTACCTGCTGCAAGGGCTTCCGTACCCATGAAGGCATGTTGGCAGCTCTTGGCTTCATTTAGAGTATTCCAGAAGATTCCTTTTTGCCTTTCAAAAGCTTCATCAGAATCAGTTGAGATTGGAAGGAGTGGAAGAGAGCTGATGTTTTTATCACATTGGAAAAGGAAAGTAGCTGTGTTTGCATAAAAGAAAACATTGATGTATAGCCTGAACCACATTGCCATAGCCTGCATCTAGGTTTTTTAACACAATAAAGATGGTGATGAATAGAGACAAATACTGAAGCAAATTATCACTCTGTTATCAGATCTGGCCTTATGGGACACTTGCCTCTCCACCTGCCACACATATACAAAGAAATGATGAACGCAAGGGCTTTTTGACCCAGTGGTAGAATAATACCTGAATTTGAATGCTTTAATTATTACCATTACTTCTTAGCTGTGTGACTTTGGTCAAGTGTTTTAACCTCATTATATCTCAGTTTTATCATCTGCAAAGTGGGACTAATACTTGCTCATCTCTCAGTTATTTTTAGGGTTAATAAATATCTTGTAAGCAACAGGAAAATGTGAGTTTTGACTATTAATCTCTTACTTATAGTTAACTGATGGTATCTTAATTGTTGAGCCTATGTAATATTTAATTGAAGCAATTATTCTTATACTTTAATTCTTCCTTTTAAATTTAACTTGATTTCATCATTGACTGGGAATATAATTTTAAGTTTAATGTTTATTTGTTGGTGTGTTTTTGTGTACGTGCATGTTTTCAAGTTTCTTTTGAGAAGCCTGAGAGGATAGGACTAAATAACAACCTCTGGCTAAATAGCATGTCAACTAGGAAATGATGTCTCTCTTCCCCTTCTCCCAAGCATTCTAACTGGGCTCTGTTTCTAAACAACTCTAGTTCCTTCTTTTAAATACCCCTAGTATGGCATACTTATCTTTGTCTTTTTTCAAGTCAAAACACATGTCTATTTGGACATCTATATTACTCTTTCTAGTTCATATTTTATATTAGTTTGATTAATTTTTACTAAGCTATATTTATTTGAATGATTAATTATGATATTTCTTCTTAGGATCCCCTACAGTTAATGCCCTGACTTCTGCTATACTAGTTTTTAAATATGGCTCATTAAGCATACCATCCTTCATTCAGTAATAACACTGAGGTGATTTGCTGTCATTATCAATTACAAATACAATGACTTCCATATCCCTATTCTGATTCAGACTACACTCTCAATAGTATTCTCGTTGGGGTCAATCTCTATGGGCTCAGTCCAGAAATGAATTTCATTGTTGATTTCTACTATCAGTCAGCAGTGCCAGTTACTTTGATCATATGTAGGAAATCAGGTACCCAGTTTGTCTGGGACAGTTGTGGTTTACGTCTACGTGTAGGTGTATTCACAGTGCACAGTTTGTTTTTCGAAAGCATCAGGTTTGATTATTAAATTATACGGTCACCTTAAGCTTCTAATTGTCTGGCCAATATCTCTGGCCTCAGCCTTCCCTTGCTCCATCTGCTATGCAACTATATTAAGTTCCTGTGTGTAACTCTTTTTCCAGTATAGGACTGATTAGTTCTGCAGTCTTAATACATGTCTTTATAAATACATATTGTATTTATAAAATTTTATAATTTATATTTAATTTGCTTATAAATATCACTCATTAATTTTTTCAACTTCTTTCAAAATATGTTGCCCCTTGGATCCTTCGTGAAGTCTGATTTTAATTACTATTACACCTTATAGAACAAAAGTTAGTCTTAATTTTGATTGAAGCTTCAAGGCAAAAGGTGTCAACTCCTCCATATTCCAAAACAAGAGTTACCAGAAACACTTTGCTGAACTCGAGTGGAGTATCTTTAAACTACATGGATTATAAAAGAGTTAAAGTTCAAGAAGCTGAGAGATGAAGAAAGTTGGAATTTAGAGTTTTTGATATGCTCTCAATATGCCAGTAGGTCTAGAGTGGGAACGTGTGTTCTTTTTTCTCGCTTCACCTCTAGTAAGGAGTGCTGCTACTTCAGCAAAACCATTGCTGTGTCCCTGGAATTAGGGTGATACAGTAGACTGCTTTTTAATTTACAGCAGAAAATTATAAAATACAAGAGGCTGTGTGTTGATCAGTCTCCAAAGGGCTGAAAGAAAAGAAATCTGAACTTGCTGTGACTGCACTCCCACCTATGACAGGTAAGAGGGTTTGGTTTCCTTGACACTGTGTGATGGGAGAGTGAGCACAGAGCAGAACATGTGTCTTCTTAGCTCCTAACCAGAGGGGCCTGGTGTAGAAACTCTAGACGCCTGGTAGACAGTCTGTGGAGGGCACAGGCCTGCAGGAGTACAACTGTGTAGGTTGTGTACTACACAAACACACCCAGTGGAAGGGTGAGAAGGAGCCCTGTGCCCAGTGCTTATGTGCCAGGCTGCGTCAATCTGGTGGAAGGCTGTCCTTTGTAATTCACCGGTCTGGAGGGGCACCTTTTTCTAATTCACATACATGGTGCTAGGAGAAGCTGGAAGGTGAAGTGCATACAACCAGGAGCCTTGGCTAGAGTAGTTAAGTATCCAGTCACAAAAGCCTCATCAAAATCGGGTCAGATTCCACAACGAGAGATTTCCAGAGTCTGAGGGTCTTCAAAGAACTGATTAAATTGGGATTAAAAAAGTCAGCTTTGAATAAATGCTAAGCCCAGGAACAGGCAATGCCAGATCAGTATTGGTCAAATAGGACTTTCCTTGTCTCATTGTACCTTCTATCCCTGACCTCTTCAACTCTGAGGGATCAAAAGCTCCATCAGCTGATTAAGGTGGAGGGAGGATGACATGAGGAGCTGGCTGAGCAGAGGAAAGAGTCTGCTGGGTCTCACTGCAGGCCTTTCCCCTACTGCTTTCCCAGGCTGGGAAGGGGGCAGCTTCAGCACAGATGGACGTCGAGATTTTTTATTTTCACTCTGCACTGAACCTAATTCTACCTGAGTGCGTGTGTGTGTGTTTTTTTTAAGTGAAGGAAGGAATTTTTATTTGAGAAAAATCTGAAAGTCAAGACAATGGCCTTGAATTGTATCCAAGGGGACAGAGAAGAACAAACCCTATGGGCAAGGTATGCGGGAGCAATGGGGAAAAAGAACAAAATGGTTTTTTTGGTGCTTTGTGAAACTTACTTTTCTGGTCTATAAATGGTCTCATTAGTATTTTGGAGTCTTTTGTATTTTATCTCTGATTCTTATAAGGAAAAATTAAAAGAAATAGTCCTTGGATATTTACTATGTATTTTTTTGTTATTTTTTTTAATCCTGCATATTGTATAGTTAATAGCTGAATTGAGATTGGTTCTAAACTTGAATATTCAACTATTAAAATACTTATCAGCCAGAAGGGCTTCTTCAGAAATTTTAAATGTTCAATCATTAGTTAAATATTAATAAAATAAATAAAATATAAAATAGATATTAATAAAATTAATACATTCTTTGAAAATACTCATCACAAGAAATTGATTACTTGTTTATTTGTCTTTCCCATTAACTGGCAGGTTCAGACACCAGTGCTGTTGTGCTCACCATTATGTCCTGGTACTTACGGAAATGATATGTGTGTGGAAGGGTGAGGGTTGGGAGAAGACTTGCTAGCAGACATTTACTGAGTGAATAAATTAACCTTTAGAGATTAAAAGATCATATTGATTTTTAACAGGTGTTGCCAAAATTTACATAAGAGGAGTTTAAAATTGTTAATCTGGTTCATTAATCGGGTTCATAACTATTAATCTGGTCCACCCACTTCATGAGCAGAGTGGGTTTTTGTGCTGTCACTTCTCGATCTCTCAAGCCTAAAACTGCCTGATATGTTGCAAAGTCAATAGCCATCTGATGAATGAAAGATTAAATACTTGGA